AGACTTGTTGCAAGGTTGTTCCAACAAGTCCGATACAGTCATGATATAACAATATTGTTACAACCTTGTAACATTCTTGTTATATCATGACTGTATCACACTTGTTAGAACAACCTTGTAACAAGTCTGATAATATCAACAAGTTTGGAACAAGCTGTTAACAGTTTGTAACAAGCTTGATGGCATTATCAGACTTGTTACAAGGTTGTTCCAACAAGTCCGATACAGTCATGATATAACAATATTGTTACAACCTTGTGTTGTCAACCTTGTAACATTCTTGTTATATCATGATTGTATCAGACTTGTTGGAACAACCTTGTAACGAGTCTGATAATGTCATCAAGCTTGTTACAAGTTGTTAACAGGTTGTTGCAAACTTATTACAACAACTGGGAACAAGCAGTGCAAACACAACTTGTCGACAGCTTGCATGGGCGTACCAGGCGGGGGGGGGCGGCAGCCCGGTACGCCCAGTCGGGCAATATTTGCTGAAAAGTTGGGCAGTTTTGGTTTATTATGAAAAAAAATGGGACAAATTCTGTAAATTTTGTGGTCAATTTTGTGATGTTTCGAAAATTTTTGTATGTCCGGAGAAATTTTTTGACCCCTAAAATGGTACACTGACCAAATTTTTTTTTTGGCGACGGGGGGGGGGTACGGTACTTGTCGGGCAAAATCGTGAACAGTCGGGCAAATTTCTTTCGGCCCCCCTAAATTTTTTCTTCCGGTACGCCCATGACAGCTTGTGAACAGATTTGTAACAACTTGTTTGCAGACCTGTAACAACTTTTGCATGTCTTGTGGAAATGCCAATGCTAAGCAAAAAAATTTGGGTTTCAAAATTTTTTTCCAAACTGACTTAGCTACAAGTAATATTGTCTGGCATTAGCAGGAGTAAATTAATAAATTAGGATGCATTAATTTGGCGGCACATTCCAGCTTAATGCGTTAATTAATGAGTATTTACGTCGTTTTTTGGCCAACCTTTTAAGCCATTGCGATTTTATCAGCAATTAGAATAATTGTCTCAGATATAAAAAATGTATAACCTTCTTTACGGAAATTCCACATGCGAAAATGTTCCAATTCCACGTCAATGAAAATTTCGCATGTGAAATGTTATGCACTGAATTTTCTGTAAGGGTCGCGCCCTTTGCTCCTTCGATCATAATGTTTGTTTGTGGCGAATTTGAAACTAAAAAGCAAATACCAAAGTGGTTTGATATTGTTTTATTGCTTTCTGCCGGTAAATCTGAAGTGGCGGCAATTAGCATACGTAAAATTCATTTAGGTCAAGTTCACGTTATAACGTAGAAGTCTTTTACAATTATTCTGGGACACGGACAATTTGTTATCATTCAAATTATAATTCGATCGAGTCTTGAAGTTTCTAAAATAAGCCTTGATGTAGCCTGATGTGATCAGATAAATACAGTTTTTTATACGTTTCTCAAGCGGCAAAAAAGCATGGATAGACTATAGTACTTTATCTGTAAAATAATGCTAAAATGAAGAGATTTTAGATGGTACGCCAAAGAGAAAATTATGTCTGAAGTTCAGTAAAGTTTTGCTTATAGTTATATTGCTGAATAAATATATGGCGTCAATTTTACAGCATCATGCAATGATAACTGACTTTAAATTGACAATATTTAACTATTATTTTGTGTTTCTCAAACGCCAGATACGTTTAAAAAGGTTGCTAACTGTGTAAGCTACAAAATAAAGCTAAAACAAAGTAATTTTGAGAGGAACGCCAACAAGATTTTAGGTTTTGAACACTTGACTTGACTTGTCATCGCAACAGCAGCCCTACGTGACGCGGGCTGCAAGGTTGTCTATAGTCATAGAAAACAATTGCTTCTTAAAACACTCGTGAATTAAACAGGTTTTTTAAACACTCGTGAAACCTTTTGTTATAC